GCTGCCAGAAATGCACTTCTCCTTGACCTTTATGCTTTTATGATGCAATGTTGGATTTTATGGCTGCGAGATCTTAAAACCGCACAGTTCACACAATCCTCATCAAAGACGAGGGTAAACAGATCCCAACTAGGGATCGTGGGACTAAGACTTTGTTTATCATACAGAATATAAAATATAGTGTAAAAGTATGTAAAACAAACAAACAAAAAAGAAAAAACCTCACTGTCTTTTGGCTTTTTTAACTTTTTCCATTTCACATCTATTGTACAATTTTAGCTCCTAACATAAAGCTGGCTTAGGTTATTCAGCAGCAAAATCACAAAAATGGCTGTCCACAAATCCCAATAAAACTTTTTCACTTCCGATACAATACCGATATTGCATCTTTGAGCATTGGACGATATTGATATTGATTTGATGCAATATCAGCATGAATCATACTTTTATTTCGGACTAAATGCTGGAGCGGAATCTTATCAACGAGTTAATATAATATAATAGAGATTTTAGAAGCAGGCCAATACTGGCTGATATCGGATCGATTTCCAATATCAATAGGAGATCGGGACACCCTTAAAAACATATGTGAGAAGACTTTATGTGTGGTGGAGAACTAACACCCATAGCATCATCCAGTAAAGATGTTTTTCTGCAAGATTACGGACAAATACAGAGTAATCCTGGAGGAAAATCTATAAGAGGCTAGAAAAGGCTTAAGAGTGGGATGGAAATTCACCTTCCGACAGGAAAAACAACCTAAGCTTACATCCAGAAATTCAAAGGAATGATTCAATCAAAGTCCAGACCTACAACAATTTGAAGACCTGAGGTAAAACGTGATCATTGATCGTCTCGGACATTCTCCATCCAATCAGATTGATCAAAGAAGACAATGCTATCAGGTTGATAGGGACCCATCAACCTGATAGGGACGTACAAACTCAGACTTGCAGCTGCATCGCAGTGAAAGGTGGTTCTACAAAGTACTGACATAGGGCAGCTGAACAGAACATGCCACCTTGGGAAAATATGAAAAAGTTCAAGAATCATTTTGGAAATGTTTGTCTGAGTTCACTTAAAAGCCAAAAAGCATCGGTTGTACTGTGATTCCTGGTGGTTTTAAGAATTTAATCCCTAAATCTTAAACTGGGTTGCAGGTTTTTATTTCCTCAAAAAGTTGAGCATAATCCAATCAACCCTTACCTGCTACATTCAAGCATATGATATTAAATTAAAATGTGGGAGAGGTTATAATGCTGTCGAGTCCCACACATTTAAGCCATCAAACCCATCAAAGGCTGCATGTTTATATCCAGTGTTTATGGCCTTGATGCAAGCTTCTGCTCCTCTGGGTGTTTAGTCTGCACACTGAAATAGATTTCATGTAGGCTATGCCGATCATCGGATATCACGGCGTGAGATTTATTGGTGGATTCGTGCAGAAACGCCAATACCTCGGCCTGGTTTAAGCATTGCATAACACACAGGAGGTCCAGAGTGACAACAGGGGAAAAAAACAAAAACAAACCCCATCCACTCACATTAAGATAAAAAAAATAAAATAAAAAAATAAAAAACACAAAAAACGGCCAACCTGCTCTTTGCGTTTCTGCCAACGGCCGCAGGGACTCTCCTCCAGAATCTCACTCTCGTCCTCGCTCTCCTCCTCCTTCCCCTCCGATCCTGATTTCCTCTCCGGGACGGACATCGTCATTTTACCGCCGTATGTGTCCAGATTTCAACCCCACAGACCTCCTGCACGTCTCCTCCTCTGTCTTTCCTTCTTCCTCTTGTCCCGTGTTGTTGTGGAGGAGGAAGAGGAGGAGGTTTGCAGAGGCTGTCCGCTCCGCCGCTTGTCTGCGCAGCGCAGTCGAGAAACCCACCCCCCTTTGCCTGAAGACCACAGGCTCCCTCCGTCTGTTTGTCTGTCTGTCTGTCAGCTCCTTCTTGGCGCTCAAACCCCCCTGCAGACAAATGGATTTCCAGTTGAAAACGCGCAGCCTAACAGCCGACACGCCCTTTAGATAAAATCTACAAGTGTGCACATTGCGAGGGTTGGATAAGTCAGCGGAGTGGAAAAATACATCCCAGGACTGCATGCAACGCACGTTGTGAAACGGTTTCCCTGTGTGTCTCACCAATACCTAGAAAGCCTCGGTGGTAAATAACCGCTCCGCGACGCGCAATCATCCCGTGCGCTCATATGAAGCAACAGAGACCGACTGCTCCACGGAGAAGAGCGCATTCTCCGACCACGGTGTCTGCAGAAGCCGAGAGTTGAGCCGCTGCCAGGCACGGTGCGCAGAGAGGATGATGCCAAATACCGTAACGCCGCTAATCTGTGCGCACAGCCAGCTCCTGCGATGGAAGAGAATACGTGTATCACAGAGGATTAAATTTAGCCTGCACTTTTTTTTGTTACAGTTATAATGTTTGACAAAATTTCTGTAACATTGAATTTACAACGCTTTTTTTTTTTAAAAAGAGAGGATATAGAACAAATGTTGCGTATCAAATAAAGACAAAAATAGTTCTAATTAGGTTTTTGTTTTAAGATATATAAATAAATATCTAAATATATATGTAAAAAAATATTTTCTATTTTAGTAGCTAAAGCGGGGTAAAGTTAAAATTTAATTTGATAAAGAAATACAAACTTTGCGGGACAAACAACACATAGTGTAGTAGGGCCTCATTTTACCAGAGCGTTTGACTCCGCCCACATCCAAATTACAATACTCCCCCTGCTGGCAGAAGTTGGGTATTACACACAAAAAATATATATACTTTCCCCTCTCTTTTTGCATAAATGAAGTCATAAAAGCCTTGGAGCTTCAAAATTATTATTTATGCTCCGGCGCTTGAAAAATAAGGTGGGATTAAATAGGTAATAAACCTATTTACTCTTTCCTCTTTTTTTGCCACATAAATACATATGGAAGAGAACATGTGGACAAAGATAAGTACTTTTATTTAAGTTTTTCTTAAAATAAACAAAGCAAATTATCAGATAGTAAGCTTTATGTTGAAAATACTCAACACAGAGAAATGATTGGAGGCATCAGTGCAAGTTAAAACATGGTGATTTTAGGTATTTATTATTTCCAACATAAAACAAAAACTATTTTGTATCTGCTGTTCAGTATTATAAAAATGAAAAATTGTTTATATTTTAGTTTAATATCTTAAATCGACACTATGATACAGCAGTTAACAATGCTGGCTTGCAACAAGGAGATCCTTTGTGAATGTGTACATGCATAAAAACAAGAGAAAACTTCAAGATACAACTGATAGATAAGTTATATTTGTTTTTATACATAATGCTTGTGTATCCTCCGTCTCCATTCTAATGCTGCCCTGGGCAACTCCCAGCAAATCAATGGCAAACAGAAAACTGACATTTTCTTCCAAACCGCAGATTGTTTTAGAAAAAATACTTGTCTTTGCCCATATATGGTAGCAATGACCATTTCATGACTCATTTGCATAAAAAAACTGCAACAGAATCCTTCAAACTTTTCAAAATGTCTTTATTTTATAAATTATGTTAATAAGGATTTGTCTTATGGTGAAATGTCACTGAGACAACATCTTTGAGGTGCATGCATTCCAATCTCTGCTCATTGTTTAGAATTTTTTTATTCTTTTCTGGACATTGACTGCAGGTTTTCACCAGAAATGTGCTCAGCAAAAGCTGGAATGTAACCTCATAAAGGAATCTCAACCTTTGAAACTTTTCTCTATAACCTGATTAAGGAACCAGAGGTTTCCTCTGCTGCAATGTCAATGAAACAGAAAGGGTTCTTTGTACCTTAAGAAGTTGGGTTTGTAGTGTGAAGGCATAACGGGGTGAGCCGGGTGGGGGTGGGCGGGTCAAAGAGTACAGAAGACTCCAGCCCAGTATCCAGACTAAAGGTCGAGAGTGGAAGCTAAATACAGACTGGAAACCAGAGCTTGTGTTTGAATTGCATATTTTGCTCTATAAGACTGGACTTGTTCAACAACATTCACCAGGCTCCAGTTTCCACACAGAGGACCTCATTTTGGAAGAATTTGCCTTCCTGTTTACGGGTCTTAATGACGGATGTGTTAAAAGTGAACCTGCCTGTGGTGGAAAATGATTAATACAGGGAAATAAACCCCAGAAGGAAACCAGTAAACCAGCATTTGATGACTGGCTAACAGTGTTTCACTCAGCACGTCCAAAAAGCCACATCACATTTAGTTTTACTTCCAATCTGACTTTCTTATAACTTTTAGAGAGCTTTAGTTACTCTCAACATGGACTGGAAACAAGTCAAAAAGCAGCTAAAGTCCCAAATTAAAAAGTTTTAAAGAGTGTTGAAGAGAAAGTCACTTCCAGGAATCAGGAAATCCTCTTTTTCTGTAAGAAAAAATGTCCCAGTTTGTGCAATATTCAATAGATAAAGAACTCATCAGCAAATAGAAGTAGATTACAAAGAAAAGTATTTCTGTCTCAGTAAAAGCTGCCAGATTTCCTGTCTGGTGAATAAGTTGCATAAACTTTCAGTTTATACAGTTTAAACTGTGTAAACTGAACTACTGTGTTCATATTGATGGAAGTTACTGTGTGAACTTCCATCACTATGAACTTTCCTTTATGAAACTGTTGTGTCTTTTATTTACATCAGAAAAACAGTGGAGCCCTGCAGGGTGTGCTGAATATAGAGCCGTATCTAATAACTTGGATTATTTAAATTTTATTTCAGTAACTTGATTCACTAAGAAACACAAATTATGTATGTTTACTAGGATGTATGATAATTTTCCACTTACAGTTAGTTGAAAACATAACAAAAATGGACCCATTATGTAAAATGTGTATTTTGCATGTTTTTGTACTTCCATATGGACCTCAAATGTTTCCAAAAACAGTTCAAGTGCTAGAAAAACATGCAATCATTTGTTTTTTCTGTTATTTTTAAAATCCCGAACCAGGGCAACCCAATGTGCTCTCCAGCACATTTAGTCAGTTGGTTTTTACTGCTGCATGTGCTGTACAATGGCTGCTGGAAAAGACAAGTGTTTTATTCTTGACATACCATCCAGAAACCACCTGCTGCATTCTTGCTGGTTGTGCAGGAGGTTCCACTTCTGCTTTTCAAAGATGTACAGTTGCAGAATTGTGCACAGTTTGCAGCCATTTGCATGCACAATAGTAAACAGTAAAACCAAATAAGCAGCTGCTGGTCACACCCA